TGGCCGATGCATTTTCTGTCTCTCACTCCCCAAGGCTGGTGTGCCTGAGGCTTTTTAAACTTTGCTCAAGGCTGTGAGGGGAACAGACATTCTCTGAGCATGTGACAGGAACTGGGTTGGCGAGGCAAGCCCCGCTTTGGTGGAAGATGGGGACAAGCACACCCGAAAGTGTTCAGGGAGGGGCCGAGCCCTCTAGCCCAGCCCTGAAGTAAAAGAAGCAGACCTGAAGAGGAAGGGGAGGTGGCCTGTGAACCCATCACTGCAGATGCCTGGGGTGACCCAGCAGGGCTGCCCCATAGGAGGGTCCTCCAGCTCCCTGTCCTCCCACCACCACAGGCTGCACTTCCGCCTCCCCCTCCACTCCAGGCTGGAGGGGTGGCCTCCATGTCACATGGGCCAGTCCCCCACCTCTGTGTAAGTGTGAGTCAGGGTTCCCCAAGGCCAGGGATTGCTGACTGGCTGAGGGACCCTGCAGAAAGTCCTCCAGGGGGAGCCGGCGAGGCACCACCCTGGACTCTCAGGGGACTTGAGTCCAGCATCACACTGGGGTATAGGTCACTGGGCTGGATATCTGGCACCCACGAGGCTGAGCTGGGGCACCCCTAGAACAAGGCAGGAGCCTAGGCAGGACTTGGGAGGGAGGAATGGGTGGCTGGTGAAAAAGAAGAGCCTGGGGAGGCAGGACAGAGGCAGCTCAGCCAAGGTCACCAGGAGGAGACAAGGTCTCTAAGGTCCCAGTGATGCTAAGAGCCTGAACCTCCTCCCAGAGGGTCCCCCGAGCCCCACCTTCTCCGGCGGCCCCTGAAGAGGCTGAGGTGACAGTGCAGCAGCTTTATTAACCAGACATAGCAGCAAGAACACAGCAAAGTGGGGCCTGGACAGTCCAGCCCAGCCACAGGCTCTGGCTGCCTACAGTCAAGTCTGGGGACCCCAGCATCTCTCCTCTAGCCTTCCTGAAGCCCAACTTCATCCCTGTTCTGGGTCATCCCTGAAATAAGGGACAGTAGGAGGGCAGATCCTGGAGGGGCTGGGAAGGCAGGTGGCACCCAGATAGGGGCCAGTGCCGGGTCCAGCAGCCGGCAGGAGGCAATTCGTGCAGGAGGCAGGGGCGTGCGGGTGGGTGGGGAGCAGCCAGCTCACCACACAGAGCACTTGTGAGCAGGGTTCATGGGCGAGTCTTTGGGGCAATGGAAGGCCCGGCCAAACTCCTCGAACTGGGACACGCTGCCCAGCACCCTGGGGTGGGAGGAGAGACCCATAAAGTGTAGGTCCCAGCATACCCCAGCTGTCCCTTCCCACTCGTACCTGCTTCTGTCCCAGACACAAGGAGGGGTGAGGCCTAGGCAGGTGGTGGCCATACCTGTAGTGCTCAGGTGCGTGCTTGTCAGTCAGCACCTGCAGGTAGATGGACTGGGAACGCCGTTTGATGCACCAGTTCTGGGCCAGGGATGGGGGTGCAGGGGAGCAGAGTGGGAGATGAGGCCAGGCGTCCACTGCCCAAGCCCTGCAACACCCCTTCCCACAACCCCCAGCACACTGGGCCTTAAACTCCCATCAGAACCCACAGGGCCTTTGCCCCACCCCTGACCCCCTACCAACCCCCACATGGCCCACCTGGGCAAAGGCAATGAAGAAGAGCTGGTTGTGTGTGTACTTGAGCCGGTGTAGTGGGTGCTCTGGGCCGTGCTCCCGCACCCACTTCTGATAGGCCTGGGGGTGCAGAGCATGGAGCTGTGGTGCCCAAATGGGGCAACCTCACTCACCCTCCACCCACATCCAGCACTCTGAGCCCCCAGCTCCCTGCCTTCCACACTCTCCAAGCTGTGCTCCCTCCCAGGAAGGCTAACCCCAGACAGACGCCACCCTCTCCAGGCAGCCCTCCCTCCTCTCGGAATGTGGGGCCTGGGAGTCCCTCCTTTTCCTGAGGACCCCGTGTCTGGCACAGGCCCCACCCCCTAGGCCAGAGGGCAGCAGGACAGCCAGGAAGAGATGCCTACATCTCCGGTTGAGTGCCCATCAGCCCCCACCCTTCCCCTGAAGGGATGAAGGGCCAGGCCCGGCAGCTCACATAGTAGGCCAGCTTGAGGCCGCCCATGTCTGCGATGTTCTCGCCGAGTGTGTGCTTCCCATTCACCTGCCAAGAAAGGAAAAGGTAAGAGGCTGCTCAGGCCTTGCACCCTGGGCCCCTGCCCACCCCCACCCCTGCCCTGTCCTCCCCTTTCCCAGAGGGTTTGGGAGGGACTCCAATGTGTGCCCCGTGACCCTTGTGAGTGTATACCCCCCCCCCGGTATGTGTCAGGGCCTGCACAGGGTTTGTTCGGGCACATGTGTGTGCACGTGTGTGCACACTCCTGGTCTGTGCCGAGCCGGGCCGAGGGAGCCAGGAGTCTCACCCGCTGGTTGTAGACAGTGAAGTTGTCATAAAGGTGAACGATGCACTTGGCCTTGTGCAGGAAGCGGCTGTAGGAGGCCTCTGTCCACCAGTGCAGCAGGTTGCCCAAGCGGTCGTACTGGCCCCCTGCGGGGACCGGGCAGGGTGGGCTGAGACTGACCCTCACCCCCAGAGCCTGGGCTGGGTACTGAGTCCCTCCCCCGACCCGCTGGCCAATGAGGTCAGAAGGGCCCTGTGGGGTCTCAATCAGCCCATCACCACCCTGCCCCCACTATCCCCTCAACCCACAGGCCTCACCCCAGTCGTCGTAGCCGTGGGTCAGCTCGTGTCCGATGATGGTGCCAATGCCCCCGTAGTTCAGAGACCTGGGCCCAGGGCAGCAGCGTCAGGCACCACCTGTGTTCTGAAGCTCCTGGCTGCTGCCCAGGCCCCGGGAGGCCCTGGCCAGGCTAAGAGGTGACCCAGGGAGGCCACAGTGGTGCCTGCACGGTGCCGGGGCACTCCTGCCTCAACTTCCTTGCAGGATGTGTAAAAGGGTCCACTGACACCTGAGCACCTGCCCCTTAGGGAATAACACCTCACAGAGCTGGGTGGGGGGAGGAGTCAGGGCGGAAGGGAAGGAGGGAAACTGAAGCACCCTACACGGGCATGTGCCTTTTCCTCATCACGAGGGTCACTCCACCTTTGAAATACCTAATGAAACCTCTGACCAGGTAAGGGGAGCTTAGGACATTAACAAGAAAGAAAAAATCCTACACATTTCCCTAAATAACCAAGGATGAAGTAGGACTATGGAGACCCAGGGTCCGCTGATGTCATGGTGCCTGGACCCAGCCCGGGTTGGGAGCGGTCTGGGCAGCCCCCCCCCCACCTGGAAGACAAGGCCAGGCTCTGTACTCACTGTGGGAAGTCCGGGTCATACAGGGTCGGCTGCAGGATACCAGCAGGAAACACTACAGGGAGGGTGTGGTCAGCAGGGGGCCTGCCCCCCAAGCCCCGCCCCTTTCAGGACGCGCCCCTTACCCATCTGGTTCTTGTTGGGTAGATAGTAGGCATTGAGCGCCTGCGGAGGAAGCAACCACCTGTGGAGGAACCCTGAGGTCAGCTAGGGCAGGGGGAGCACTCCCCCCATCTCCTAGCCTACAGCCATGTCCTGGGCCTCCTTCAGGCTGCTCCCCAATGATCCCCAGCCCCGACAGCCCCCACCCAGGACCTGTACAGGCCTTGTGCCCCCCACACCAGCATGGTGTGAGGCAGTCTGCCCCACCAGCCTGCTGGTTTTGGTAAGGTGCCCTCTCCCCGTGGCATCTCCCTGGCGCCCCCAGCTCTGGGCCAGGCACCCACATGGACTTGTCCACCTCCTGCCGGATCTTCTTGACTGAGAGCTGGATGCTAAAGCGGATGCTGTTTAAGATGTTCTTGAAGTAGGTCTTCTCATGGACCTCGAACTGCACAAGGGACAGACAGCACTCAGCCTCAGC